TCCATGTTGTGGCCTCTCGCCGTGGATCACCAACTCTCCCCCGCTTGGGGTCCTGAGCCGCACTAGCTGTTGTGCGCAATCTATCACCGCCCCATTAGGGCTCAACCAATCCATGCCTATAATCACCTTGTTCCCCCGCAACGGTATGGGAACCAAATCCACCAGATCACTGTTGGATTAGTGTCTAAGTCCATAACTATTTTGGTATATACTTGACCCGATGGTGCATGAGCCTTTTGGGTTGCCTTCACCAAAGCAACTTGATTGGAGAAATAAATAAAGAGAGAAAGGTTATTATGATTTATTAATATGTTATAAGAATAATATATTAAAGGAGAAATCATATTTGTTTAATTAATATTGGTCAATAATTAATTAGGAATTAATTTTGTGATCAAGTGTAATTAATTAAACTAGAGGGGCTGATTTGTAATTATGTGATAGTTACAAAATAAGGTAAGGATTATCTTAAATATAGGGTGAACGAATTTGAGGTGATAAGGCCTTAGAATTCGACTATGATAAGGATTCAAAGATTATCTTATGGGTTGCTTTGTGGATAAGCATCTAGATAAGGATAATGACTGAAACCCTATCTGAACACCTATATAAACACCCCTTGGCACATGAATTCGTGTATCCCTTCCCAAGAAGTCCTAAGGACGAATTCTAACCTCTCTCCTCTCTCTTTATACCTTCTCCATTTGCTCTTGGTGTTTATAAGCCATTAGAGGAGTGACACTTGTGACTCTAAGCCTTACAAAGTCATTACAAGGAGATTTGGGATTTTTATTGCTACATAACAATCAATGTATGATCTTAAACCTAATTACATATTAATAAGATTACTTGAATGCTAGAATTAGGGTTTATAGTCTCGGATTCAAAGCATGTACAATAGAGAAACCTAGATCCAAGCATTAGGGTTTGTATGAGCACATAGGATGTCTTATGACCAAAACCCATCAGTGGTATCAGAGCCTAGGATGGTTTCAATTGTATTGATGCATTGTATATCTGAAAAATTCGTTTTTTGGTGTATTAGAGGTTGGACTCGCCGAGTCCAGGGTGACTCGAAGAGTCCAGGCTTGACTCGACGATTCAACTCGTCAGATAATGCTTATCTCGGGTTTTCTTGCTGTTTTTGCTTATGGATAGTCACCTTATCATGTTAGATCAATATTAATCCGATTATATGATATATTTGACTATAATTTTGATCTAATTGAAGATATTTATCAATTAATAAGATAATTGTTTCCTTATATGATAACTGATTAATTATTTTGAGTAAATTGATAAATTGTTTTTTGCAAGAAATTATTAAATAAATCAAATATGGATAATTATGTGATTAAATGTTAATTTGAATTATTTGTTATTTGATCCTTGTTGT